GACTCACCGATGTGCCTGCGCAGCACGGGCTGCAGGAAGAAGTGCACCATGGCGGCGTGCAGCAGCTGCGCGGCGCTGTGCCAGGCGGCGTTGGCGGCGCGACCCAGCAGCCCCATGCGGTCGGTGAAGGCGGCGCCCAGGAAGGGTGTGAGGGCGAAGGGCGCAGGGTTGCCGGCCAGCGACAGCGACCCTGTGTAGAAGCCCACCTGCGGGAGGAGAGAGATTCGTTAGTGATTTCGTGCGCGCCGACCGCTATGTCCCGTGGTGAGGAATTGGGTACCTACGAGGAGGAGATGATGGATTGAAGCTCAGCCACCAGCGCGGAAAGTTCACCGCCAGAGGAGAAAACATGTACTACACATACGGGACTAAGGGATTGGGACACATACGGGATTGAGTTCCTACGAGGAGGAGATGATGGATTGAAGCCCGGAAAGATCACCGCCAGAGATGAAAAACATATACTATGCATGTTGCAGCCAAAACCCAAAAGACGTGAGCCAAAAGGCAAAAGGCGTTTGCTTCGTGGAGTACAAAGTTTGATCCTAAAGCTTCTTTCTAGCATCTCCCAACTGTCCTTGGGTATGCGGTCAGCCAAAGAAGTGGCTAGCAAAACTGGGTCTTTCATTTATCCCATTTTGCAGTGACCGCCGATTTGGGATCAAAGTTTATCCCAAGACCTTGGCAACCCTACCAAAACTCAAAATTTCTGAGTGGTATTTGGGACCCATTGGTCAAGGTGTTTTGAATAAGATACCCTTTGGCAAACACTAGCAAACATATTATTTGGCTTACGCCTACGTCATCTTTTGCTATACTGTTTCGACTTTAATTCGTCTCGTCAGCTTGGGAAGTGTTGAGATCAGCGACATGGCTGACCGCACACCCAAGGACGGTGGTGGGGAGATTCTGGAAACTTAAGGATCAAACTTTGTACTACACGAAGCAACCGCATTTTGCCTTTGGCTCACGCCTTTTGTCTTTTGTCTGCAACATGTGTAGTACATATTTTTATCTCTGGCGGTGATCTCTCCGCGCCGGTGGCTGGGCTCCAATTCCTCATCTCCTGCTTCTCTTAAGTAGCCAATTCCTCACACATCTCTCTCGTATGTACCCCTTTCCCTCATCTCTGCCTCTCTCACACTCTTCACCCTCGTGAATTACCCAATCCCTCACCCCTCCCTCATATGTACCCAATCCCTCATCTCTCCTTCCCTGCCGAATTTCGCAGTCACTCATCTCTCTCTCTTTCTCAAACACACTCTTTCGTATGCACCAATTCCTCATCCCTACATCTCTCTCGTATGTACCCAATCCCTCATCTCCCTCTCGAATTTCTCTATTACTCATCTCTCTCTCTCTCTCACACACACACACACACACACACACACACACACATTCTCTCTTTCGTAAGTACCCAATACCTCATCCCCCCATCTCTCTCGTGTGTACCCAATCCCTCATCTCCCTCTCAAATTACCCAATTCCTGATGTCCCTCCCTTTGTAGTCAATTCCTCATCTCCCTGTCGGTATACTCATTCCCTCATCTCCATCTCGTAGTACCTAATCACTCGTCTCTCTTTCATTATACCCAATCCCTCATCTATTCGAATTACCTCATCTCTTTCCCCGATTGTACCGAATTCTTCAAATTCTTCTTGGATTTTCCAATCATTCCTCCCCCTCTCTTTAGATGTTCCAATCCTTCTTCTCTCTCTCTCTCTCTCTCTCTCTCTCTCTCTCGTAGTGCTCAATCCCTCACCCCCCTCTCGAATTACCGAATCCCTCATCTCCCTCTGGTATAGTACTCACTCCTTCTTGTCTCTCTCTTAGGTACGCAATCCCTCATCTACCACTCGCAGGCACCCTGTACGATCCCTGTACGTCCGCCCTGGTGTGCGGTGGGCGGGTTAGCGGCGGTACCCCATATCCTCGAATTACCTCATGTCTCTCTCTCTCTCTCTCTCTCTCTCTTTGATTGCACCGTAATCCTCAAATCTTTCTCGAATTTATCCAATCATTCATCCCCTCTCTCTGGTTGTAACCAATTCCTCTTCTCTGTCTCTCTCTCTCCCTCTCTCTTTCCCCCTCTCTCTCCCTCTGGAAGTACTCACTCCTTGTCTCTCTCTTAGGTACGCAATCCCTCATCTACCACTCGCTTGCACCCGATCCCTGTACGTCCGCCCTGGTGCGCGGTGGGGTGGCGGTACCCAATCTTCATCTCACCCTCGCACCTTCCCTCATCCTTCTCACAGGCACCCTGTCACCCTCATGTAACCGATCCCTCCCACGGGCCGGCCCTTTCCACCATGTCTGCAGCCCCTGGAGGGGGGGGCGCGGGGGAGGGGGC